GGGACTGCTGCGGCAGTGGGGAAATATAGAAGAGCTCCTGTGGGAGTGGGGACTGCTGTGGCAGTGTGGAAATACGGAAAGAGGCTCCTGCGGGAACGGGCATTGCTGCGGCTGTGGTGAAATATGGAAGAGCTCCTGCGCGCAGCGGGGACTGCTGGGGCAGTGTGGAAATATGGAAGAGCTCCTGCGGGAGCGGGGACTGCTGCGGCAGTGGGGAAATAGTGAAAGAGGCTCCTGCGGGAGCGGGCACTGCTACAGCAGTGGAGCAATATGGAAAAGCTCAGCTGGGAGCAGGAACTGCTGCGGCAGTGGGGAAATATGGAAAAGCTCCTGCGGGAGCGGGGACTGCTGCAGCAGTCGGGAAATATGTAAGCGCTCCTGCGAAAGCGGGCACTATTGCGGCAGTGGTGAAACACAGAAAAGGCTCCTGTGGGAGCAGGGACTGCTGCGGCAGTGGGGAAATATGGAAGAGCTCCTGGGGACTGCTGCGGCAGTGGGGAAATATAGAAGAGCTCCTGTGGGAGTGGGGACTGCTGTGGCAGTGTGGAAATACGGAAAGAGGCTCCTGCGGGAACGGGCATTGCTGCGGCTGTGGTGAAATATGGAAGAGCTCCTGCGCGCAGCGGGGACTGCTGGGGCAGTGTGGAAATATGGAAGAGCTCCTGCGGGAGCGGGGACTGCTGCGGCAGTGGGGAAGTATGAAAGAGCTCCTGCTGGAGCAGGGACTGCTGTGGCAGTGGAGAAATATGGAAAAGCTCATTTGGGAGCGGGAATTGCTGCAGCTGTGGGGAAATATAGAAAAGGCTCCAGCGGGAGCGGGCACTGCTCCTGTGGGGGAATATGGGAAAGGCTCCTGTGGGAGCAGGCACTGCTACAGCAGTGTGGGAATTAGGTAAGGCTCCTGCAGGTGCGGGAGCAAGAACTGCTGCAGCTGTGGGAAAATACAGAAAAGACTCCTGCGGGAGTGGGCACTGCTCCTGTGCGGAAATATGGAAAAGCTCCTGCGGGACCAGGCACTGCTGCGTCAGTGTGGGAATTTAGATAAGGCTCCTGCGGGAGCGGGAATTGCTGCGGCAGTGTGGGAATTAGGTGAGGCTCCTGCGGGAGCGGGAACTGCAGCGGCAGTGTGGGAATTAGGTAAGGCTCCTGCAGGAGTGGGAACTGCTGCGGCAGTGGGAAAATATGGAAAAGCTCATTTGGGAGCGGGCACTGCTGCTGCAGTGTGGGAATTAGGTAAGGCTCCTGTGGGTGTGGGAGCGGGAACTGCTGCAGCTGTGGGGAAATATGGAAAAGCTCCTGCGGGAGCGCGGACTGCTGCAGCAGTGGGGAAATAGGGAAAAGCTCCTGCAGGAGCGGGCACTGCTGCGGCAGTGGGGAAATAAGGAAACGCTCCTGCAGGAGCTTTTCCCTATTTCCCCACTGCTGCAGCAGTCCGCGCTCCCGCAGGAGCTTTTCCATATTTTCCCACTGCCGCAGCAGAGCCCGCTCCTGCAGGAGCTTTTCCCTATTTCCCCACTGCTGCAGCAGTCCGCGCTCCCGCAGGAGCTTTTCCATATTTTCCCACTGCCGCAGCAGAGCCCGCTCCTGCAGGAGCTTTTCCCTATTTCCCCACTGCTGCAGCAGTCCGCGCTCCCGCAGGAGCTTTTCCATATTTTCCCACTGCCGCAGCAGAGCCCGCTCCTGCAGGAGCGGGCACTGCTGCGGCAGTGGGGAAATAAGGAAATGCTCCTGCAGGAGCGGGGACTGCTGCAGCAGTGGGGAAATATGGAAAAGCTCCTGCGGGAGCGGGCACTGCTGCGGCAGTGAGGAAATATGGAAAATCTCCTGCGGGAGCGGGCACTGCTGCGGCAGTGTGGGAATATGGAAAGTCTCCTGCTGGAGCGGGCACTGCTGCGGCAGTGGGGAAATGTAGAAAAGCTCCTGCGGGAGCGGGGACTGCTGCAGCAGTGGGGAAATATGGAAAAGCTCCTGCGGGAGCGGGCACTGCTGCGGCAGTGAGGAAATATGGAAAATCTTCTATGGGAGCGGGCACTGCTGCGGCAGTGTGGGAATTAGTTAAGGCTCCTGCGGGAGCGGGAACTGGTGCGGCAATGTGGGAATTAGGTAAGGCTTCTGCCGGAGTCCAGGAAACAGAGCTTTAAAAACAATTTCCAAAGCGGATACATTTGAAAATACTGTTTTCACGTTGTAAAAACTGAAGCTTTTGAAAACGATGGAGCATGTTTAGTCGGGTAACGCATTGTACCAATAGACATGTTTATACATGTAATGTTCATTTTGCAGTTATGTGCTATTCACTTTCACACTGTTGCTAAAGATATTTACTTTGCACGTTCTTCATTACTTCATTACAGTCCTAAAAAGATGACAGAAAATGTACTCACGATTGCTGTCCTGCGGCAAAACACGAGGGCAGTTGCGTTTTAGATCAATTCTGAGTGAGCACGCCGTGGGCAGTGGATGGTGAAATATTTCCGTAAATTAATTGATCCTGTCAGAAGAATTGCGTGAAACTTATTATGTCTGTTCCGTCTGTATCATCTCAGTGAGGTTTTATATATGCACAGTAAGGCGAATGTAACGCTTTCAGACATTTCAGTGTGGATGATAAACTTTGGGGAAAAAAATTGCTTTTTTTTGTTTTTTTAATTGCTTAAAAATGGCATCAACATCCGTTTATGTCATAACGTTGTTTAAAAAACTTTAGCCATGAAAACTTGCTTTAGCGACTTCACCTGAAATTTAATTAATTTCCCATGCGACCTGCGCCGCTAGCGGAGGCAGCCTCAAACTATCGTCTGCTACGAGTGCTGGAGGTCCGGCTGCGTACGGAAGCGAGTGAGGCTTTGCTGCGGTGAGATCTGGGGCTCGAGGAGAGGAGAGCTTGTGCGGGACGATGGTGGTGTCGAGCGAGGCGAGCTCGGGGCTTTGTACGGTCTATTGGCTAGAGCATGTGGCTGGTTGAGAAGAGCAGCGGCCGTGATGAAGCCTGGTGCCGTGTCTGGCGGGGAAAGAGTGATCATGGGGCTGGCAAATTGCGGCGGATCTGAAAAAATCCCCAGTATAGGTCTTTTCGTTGGACCGGAAATTGAATCTGTGATAAGATGGCAAAGGGAGAAACCGAATGCTGAAAGACAAGAGATAATGCAGGTAAGGCTGATTTGATTATTTATAGGGGTTCTCTCTTGTGCTGGTTGGATAGATGGTGTAATTACTAATGATGGACTGCCCGTGTTAATTATCTGCGCGTGCTCCTCCCGAAATTTGTTAATAAAACATCACTTACAGAACAAGGTCAAGTCAAGTCAAGTCAAGTCACCATTATTTATATAACACTTTTTACAATGCAGATTGTGTCAAAACTTTATGGTATTAAAAAAAGGGAAATAGTGTGCCATTCTCCTCTGGCCAGACGAGACCAGCAGTTTAATTCTAGGCTGCAGCAAAGTCAGATTGTGCAGAGGAATCATCTGGTTGACGTGGTCTTGTCCCGATGGCCGTCCAGATGACAAAACACTGTGTTGTCATTTAAACATGCATCAGACTTCAAAAGTCACAAGACTATGTCTAAAATATACAGCAAAGGAGCATCACTGAATGACTGTACATAACAAAAATACTTAATGCCAAAGACAAGGTGAAAAACCTTGTCAGGCAGTGAGATGATTGACAGCAGGGTATTCACTGTAATCCTGATTATTCCTCAATCTGACACTGTCGGGACAGTCCGCTTTCTTGTGGAAATGCACCACGGCATAATTCAGATCCTCAGCAGATGTGATGACGTTCTGAGAGTCACCAGTGGCTTTCTGAACACAGTCAGGAGAAACAGAGGGGTTTCTGGGTAATTGTTTCTGAGTGTCTTTAATGTTATCATAATCGCAACCAGAGTGAGAAACCTGCATAGAGACAGAGAAGTTATTTACAGCTCTGAAGATTTTCATGATGGAAGACATTAGAATTTATTCTCGTTTTGATTAAAAATAAACATATTTTATACAATTGCTGAACTAACCAGTTCATTTTTTCCTGCTCCAGTCTGAGATGACAAATCACCTCCTACCAAAACAAGAGTCTTAACTTAATAACATTATTTCACATTTCAACACTGCATGGAAATGTTTTCACACATCATCAAATATCTGTATGTTGTAGTTGTAGCCATTAGGAGGCGAAAGAATCATAATGAAAAAACAAATCTTCATTTTAAACCTGGTATGAACGGGAGTTTCTGTATCTAAAGGAGTTTTACCTCGAGAATGATGCTTCTTATAGAGAAATAGTAACAAGACACAAACGATGATCAGAACCAGAAGAACCAGAACGAGAGGAATGATCAGAGAAGAGCCTGAAAACACAGGAGAAACAATCAGATCAATCAATCTGATCACTCTGAACTGAATATCAGATCATATGTTTATATTTTAGCACACAGGCACCTTTTAACATGTTAGGAGACTCTGATGTGAAGTTAGATGTGGTTGTTTTGAAAACAGATGATGATGATGATGATGATGATGATGGTGGTGTTGATGATGATGGTAGTAATGATGGTGTTGCTTTTGGAACATCTGTATCTAAAAAAATAATAACATGGAGAGATAAACAAACAGTTTTTTTTAATGCACGGGTCTTGACTGATATCGTTCACACATCCTCTGTCCTGAATTCATGTTTTCTGAAGCACACACACCCAGAAAACAAAACTACAAGTTCTTAATTTGAGTTTTAGGAACTTAGAAGTGAGCACATGAGTAAAAAAAGAGCATAGTGAACAATACAAAACAGCACAAGTGAAAGAAAAAAAACATTTTAGTATTTTCATCTGCAAGCTTCCTTAAATGCAGTTTTAAATCTAGCACAAGTGTGATGAAGTAAACTCTCAGTTATACACAGAAACTGCAATTCTACTGCACATGCAACTGACAATTAGCAATACTGAGGCCAAATGAGCACACTAATGCTGCAACACCAAACACTGATGTAATACCAAATGACCACACACTTTCAAACTGTCTCTAGATGTCCATTTCCTGCATTCACACGCTGCTGTAGACTTTCCCAAGAAAATTGCTTGTAAATACTACAACTACAACTCAGTCTAAAGTATAACAGGCAAATGTGTTCTTTAATTATTGAAATATGAACCAAAATCTCAAGTGGACTTAAATATAAGTAAATATTTAAGGTCAAATATTTACGGTCAAAAGGAGTTCAGCTAAATAAAAAAAATTAAATAAAAAAAAGGAATCGTTGATCTAGAGAATTAAAACTACTGGTTAATAATGTTTTGAGAAGTTGTATGAACAGAAATGAGAATATGAATGAACAGGCAACACAAAAACAGAAGAACAGAACAAGAACAGCTCATGATGAAATTAACCAAGTAAATTATTATAAGAACGACATGAATAATAAAACGATCACAAATACAAACACTCACAATTGCATTTGAAGAACAGCATTATGATTCCACACAAAACACATTTTAATGTATAGACTGAAGAAATACATTTTTGGCAATGACACTTCCTCTTTTTAACTGTGCTTTGTGGCTTTGCTTTGTCAAATAGACAGCATTAAACTAATATAACCCTCTGTGTAAACCTGCAACATTCAAGCAACAGAGTATACAGTGATCTGTTGAATGGAAGCTAGATGTGATTTTGAATAACATTATGATTAATATCAGCAGGGCCGTAGCTGGGGTTTGCAGGCCCCGGATGAAGATTGTACCCGCGTGCCCTGTTTGAAATCGTGTAAATAGCACAAATAAATAAATAGAACAAAGATAGAAATTAAACAATGTTTACCTTTTTTCCTAGTTTGTAGGTGTTCAGGTATAGAACACCTGTACTTAGCTTGTTCTGAGCTAAGATGGCGCCGTGGATGGCAGCCATGGTTTGTCGCTCCTTGGTACTTGTACTTTTTTGTTTGTTTGTCCTGTCTTAAGCAATTGTTTTCCCGATCAGCTTTACTAGGAACAAACTCCTGGACATCAGAAATAGCACACCAAATAACTCTCTGCCGACATTTGAGCATTCAGATGTTTTACTGGACATTTTAGTCGGAGGAGCTGCGTTCCTATACAAGTGCTCCTGGCGACGCAAGCGAGGGAAGTGCGCCGGCGCGCTCGTAAAATTCCGACAGCGTGGTTTTAGGACTCTGCTGCCGAGCATTCAGCTGGCAAATCTCCATAAATCAGACAAACTACGACTCCTCACCTGCACAAACAAGGACTTTTTAAACTCCGCGGCGCTCTGCTTCACGGAAACCTGTCTGAACGGATCCATCCCGGACAGCGCTAAATCTAACGGGCTTCCAGTTGTTCAGAGCAGACCGCGTCACCGAGTCGTTGGGGAAAACTAGAGGCGGTGGATTGTTTTTATATCAATGAAGGCTGGTGTACAGACGTGAAAGTTGTAAAGAAGATGTGCTGCCCAAATTTGGAAGCTCTCTTCACTAACTGTAAGCCTTTTTATTCACTGCGGGAGTTTATTCTGGTGTGTGTGTACATTCCTCCTGACGCGCATGTGAGCGCCGCGCTAGAACTGTTGGCCGATCAGATCACACACACAGAGCAGCGTTATCCGGACTCTTTCATTATCGTTCTCTGTGATTTTAATAAAGCTAATTCCACCCGTAAACGGCCTAAATATAGACAGAACATCACATGCCCCACCAGAGACAGCAATATACTGGACCACTGCTACACTGTTTTAAAGGGGTCATATGATGTTGCTAAAAAGAACATTATTTTGTGTATTTGGTGTAATGAAATGTGTTTATGCGGTTTAAGGTAAAAAAAACACATTATTTTCCACATACTGTACATTATTGTTTCTCCTTTATGGCCTGCCTTTCTGAAACGCGTCAATTATTACAAAGCTAATCTGTCTGAAAAGCAAGGTGTGCTGTGATTGGCCAGCTATCCAGTGCATTATGATTGGCCGAATACCTCAAGCATGTGATGGAAATGTTACGGCCCTACCATACTGTGATGATGCCCTGTCAGGCCAGAGCGATGATTCAAAAACATGACAACCCATTATAAACGAAGCATTCGTTGCATCCAGTGGGGACATAATTATGGATTATAATGACTTATACTGTCTTTTTACACGTTGCGTTGCATCGCGCCGCGTAAACATAAAACTATGTCTGCATTTGGGATCAGAAAAATGACAAACAACAAGCCCTACCCTACACTGCCCAAAAAACCCACTGATTTCTAGTCATGTCCATTTTTGGAAGGCCAAACAAAGTAGTTTCGCTTTCACAACGAAACACACAGCGCTTTCACGACATGGCGGCGGCAACAACAATACTATAGCAAGAATAAAAGTTACACCTTCTTTCTTTTTCGTGAACATTTGGGCGGCGTTATGCAAATCTTCCCACATAGTGACGTAGACATGTGGGGGCGTGTTAGAACGAGCAATTTTACGTAGGTGTGGCTGACTCTTAACTTTTATAAAGAATATCTCTTTGGATTTGAGACTTTAGTCTTTGTAACTTTACAGATCTTCTTTATGCACCAAGAGCTTGTAACCCTCCAAAGAGAAAGGAGAAATTTTAATCGCATCATATGACCCCTTTAAAGGATGCATACCACTCTGTCCCCCGAGCAGCACTGGGAGTCTCTGATCACTGTTTGGTTCATCTTCTACCAGCCTATAGGCAGAAACTCAAATCTGCTAAGCCTGTAGTAAAAACTGTAAAGAGATGGACTGCTGAAGCAGAGCAAGATTTACAGGCCTGCTTCGAACTTACTGATTGGAGTGTTTTTGAGGCTGCAGCTACTGATCTGGATGAGCTCACTGACACCGTGACATCCTACATTAGTTTCTGTGAGGACATGTGTGTACCCACCAGGACTTATTTAACATTTAACAACGACACACCTTGGTTCAGTGCAAAACTCAAACAGCTTCTCCAGGCCAAAGAGGACGCCTACAGGAGTGGGGACAAAGACTTGTACAAAGCGGCCAAATACACACTGAATAGGGAGATAAGAGTGGCAATGTTAAACTACTCTGGAAAGCTAAAAAACTGTTTTAAATTAATGACTCTACATCAGTGTGGAAAGGCCTGAAAGCCATCACCAGCTACAAGACCCCGTCCCCCAGCACTGAGGCCAATCAACAACTGGTTGAAGACCTGAACGAGTTTTACTGCAGGTTTGAAAAGCAAAAGCCTGGTCTGACACCCCACACCCACTCCGACCATCTCACAGCACAGCCATCAACAACCTCCCCCTCCCTCCCCCCAACTGTTTCTCAACCTGTACTCAAGACCTGTGAAGAGGATGTATGCAAAGTCTTCAAGACTTCAGGAGAAACCCCCCTGCTCTCCCCCCACTCACCATCATGAACAGCCCTGTGGCTGCAGTGGAGTCATTCAGATTCCTGGGAACCACCATCTCACAGGACCTGAAGTAGGACATTCACATTGACTCCATTGTGAAAAAGGCCCTTCAGAGGTTGTACTTCCTTCGTCAGCTGAAAAAGTTCAACCTGCCACAGGCGCATATGACACAGTTTTACTCAGCTGTTATTGAGTCGGTTCTGTGCTCCTCTATATCTATCTGGTTTGGGTCAGCCAGCAAATGAGATACAAGAAGACTGCAACGGACTGTTAGGACAGCAGAACGGATCATTGGTGTGCATCTGCCCAGTCTTCAGGACTTGTACAACTCAGGTAACATCATCAAAGACCCCTTTCACCCCGGACACAACCTGTTTGCACTTCTCCCTTCAGGCAGATGCTACAGATCTCTGTGCACTAGAACATCTAGGCATAAAACAGTTTTTCCCCCATGCCATCTCCAGCTTAAACAGCTAACAAATGAATCATTATCTGTGTTCTGTAATTCATTTCTGTAATACATTCTACATCCTTAATTATTACCTCTTTCTCAAATATTATGTAAATACATATGCATATCTCTTTATTTATACAGTTCTATATAGAGTTAATAATGCACACATCTGTACATAAATCTACTGTTCCAGATTCATACACATTATTTATTGTTAAGTTTTTACTATTTTAAATGTTTTTTTTTCTGTTCTCATGTCAGATGTGTATGTATGTATATATGTATGTACCAGGAGCACCTTAAAAAAAACACAACAAATTCCTTGTGTGTTTGCACACCTGGCGAATAAAGCTAATTCTGATTCTGATTCTGAAACCGAATTATCAAATGTAAAATAGCATTACATAGTCTTCACTGAATGAAATATAGAGTAATTCTTGTTAAAACTACAAATTAATTCAGTCAAGAGCAGTGAGTGATTTTCTCTTTTATTTATTTTTTTCTCCATATAGTGGACTTCAATGGTAGCCAATGAGTTGAAGGTCCAAATTGCAGTTTCAATACAGCTTCAAAGGGCTCTACACAATCCCAGCCAGGAATAAGTGTCTTATCTAGTGAAACAATTGGCCATTTAAAAAAAATAATAATAATAATTTAGACATTTTTTAACCATAAGTTCTTGTCTTGCACTAACTCGACCTCACACATTACGTAGTCATGACAAACAATCAGAGTAACGCCGGAGCAGAAGGTGGTGGTAATGCACCAATACGCTGGATGCCAACCGCCGTAAAAATATAAGAAGAAGAAGAATCAGAGTAACTGACCAAAGCACTGAACACGCTGGATTAAGAAGTTGTTTTAAGGATTTACCATTCCAGCATCTCACTTGTTTTGGATTATCACTGACTTTGGATTTTATATACACTGGTGGACACTTTTACACTGGAACTTGCAACACAAGGATTCTTACGGACTGTGTTGAAACTGCAATTTGAACCTTCAACCTGCTGATCCACATTGAAGTCCACTATTTGGAGAAAAATCCTGGAATGTTTTCCTTTAAAACTTTAATTTATTTTCGACTGAAGAAAGAAAGACATGAACATCTTGGATGGCATGGGGGTGAGTAAATTATCAGGAAATATTTATTCTGGAAGTGAACTAATCCTTTAAGGATGCCGACAGCAGCTGGTATATTAGGCATGGTCACTTTAAGAGACAATGCATCCAATATAATGATACACATCCGATTTCTTTCTCAACTCTTTACATTCACTAAAGACATAAACAACAGTTTTTTGAGGATATATTTATCCATTTATATATTTGTCCATTCCAGCGCAAGAAGAGGCAAAACTCAATTTGGTGTTCAAGGGCTGTGAGATGCGGCCCTCTGCGTGCATGCTGTGTGCACAGAACACAGTGTGCAAATACTCCATTGTGTTCTTTGGCGTCTTGTGCTTGAATGATTTAAAATCTCTTGAATGTTTAAATTGGCAAGGCTTATTAACATGTGCAGATGACAGTCTTCCGTGATGACATGCAGCAGTGGCCCGTCAACTGTCCTTAGTCTTTTATGTTGGCCTCGGGCAATCGGTTAAAATTGCCGTGGGCCCCTATAATCATCTTCATGGTGAAGCGAGTCCTCATGAGTCAGTGTGTATTCAGTTTTAAGTCCTCACTGGGATAGAAACACAGACACACATACACACACGTGCGAATATGTTGTGTTCCCATGTTTTATGAGGACATTCCATAGGCATAATGGTTTTTATACTGTACAAACTGTATTTTCTATCGCCCTACACCAACCCTACACCTAAACCTACCCTCACAGGAAACTTTCTGCATTTTTAGATTTTCAAAAAACTTCATCCTGTATGATTTATAAGCTTGTTTTCTCATGGAGACCTAAAAAATTTCCCCACAAGGTTAAAATGTACTGTTATTACTATCCTTGTGGGGACAGTTGGTCCCCATAACGTGATACATATCAGGTTCACACACACACACACACACACACAGACAGACAGACAGTCTCTGCGTCTTCATTTTAGATCATGTGTCTTTTTGCACTTGATTAAGACATTCATTATGTTCTGAGTGTAAATCTGATATTGCAAGATAAAAATACATTATATTTGCCATGGTTATTGATCTTCTGGTGTTTTTTTTAAATACAGAATAACATGTGTGAACCACAATAATTACAGTCAGTGTTGAGTGTGATTATGTTGTGGGTTTGAGGTTTGAGGGTTTCAGTCACCTGTTAAAACATTCAGCTTCACTTCAGTGTAGGAATCTTTACTGATACGGATATCAACTCCACACTGGTACGTCCCAGAATCCTCTTCACTTAGATTTATGATGGTCACAGTGAAAACTGCTGCACTTGTGTTGTCATACAGAGAGAATCTTCCAGAATCAACCCATTTATCTTTGTCTTCAGTCTTGATGAGGTCAGAGCATCCTGGATTGTGTCCTTTACAAAAATACTTTGCTTTGTCTGTATATTTTCTCTCATATTTGCATGTGATGTTGATTCTTCCTCCTGAATATCCTGTCACACTGATGGAGCTCACCACACCTACAACAAACCAGCATCTTAATTCAACAATAATATATTCATGAGACTGAATAGAGATAAACTTTTACATTTCATAGACAACATGCACTTAAGTTAAAGGCTATCTTCCTGTTGCAAATCTGTACTGTTTTAGTGCTGTTCCCTGATTCATGTGATTGTTAGATTGTTGGATTCTTACCAGGAATCATCAGCAGAGTGAAAGTCCAGATGATCTTCATTCTTCTCTCTTATTCAGTGATCTTCTCTGTTGTTAGTAGATTCAGTTCTTCTGAAGCTCTCGATGTGTGTTCAGATGAGTTTTAGTGTTTCTTTCCTGGTTACATGTTTAACATGAACTGATGATGAATGTGACAGAGACGCCCACTTCCTTCCACTTCAGAGAGAGAGAGAGAGAGAGAGAGAGAGAGAGAGAGAATTATAAAACCAAAGAAAAATAAATGGAACACTGACAGATGCTCAGCGAAAAAAACTCAGAATTGGATCCAACCAAAAACAGTCAGCCAGAAAACCAGGACCTCTGCCATCATTACTGTGAGGCACTAAGGCAATACAAAGCCACACTCTGCTGGAAAAAAAGTTACATTTCTTCAGGACCAGTTTTAACAAATCTTTTTAAATTCTGGGATAAATTGAAAGTATTATACAAATCAAATCAAGAAGATCTGGCTATCCAAGATGGAGACATATGGAAAAGTAATTTCCAAGAATTATATAGCTCAAGTGAAGTTCAAAACTCTGATCAAAATGAAAAAAAAAGACAAAATAGACATTTTGGAAAAATCAGTTAAAGTTAATCAAAACCCTTTAGATTTCCCCATAACAATGCAAGAGTTGGAAGATAAAATGCAAGGCCTCGAGCCCAAGAAAGGCTGCAGTGTTGAAGGCATCCTGAACGAGATGCTGAAACACACAGAGCAAAACTCTTCAATGATGTTCTGTGTGTAAGTTTCTTCCCTGAGATCTGGAACCAGGGCCTCATCAGAGACTAACTGGACCTCAACAACCAAGGTATCTGTGTGAACGGTAACCTGGGGAAGGTTTTGTGCAGCATTTTAAACACAAGACTTTTAAACTTCCTTATGAAACACAATGCCTTGAATACATGTCAACTTGGTTTCCTCCTAAAATGTCGCACATCTGACCACATCTTCACATTACAGACATTAATTGATTAATGAATTGAAATGTACATCAAAACAAAATATATATTTTTTGCTTGTTTCATAGATAGCAAGAAAGTATTTGACTCAATCTGGCATGATGGATTAAATCTGAAACTAATTGACAATGGTATAGGGGGAAATTCTATGATTTGATGAAATCAATGTACTCAACCAGTCAATGTGCTGTCAAAATTGGAAACAAAAGCATTTTTTTCTTCAAGGGTGTGGAGTGAGACAGGGTTGCAGTTTAAGGCCCACCCTCTTCAAAATTTACATCAATCAATTGGCTAATACACTACACTGTTAAAAAAATGCTGTAAAAAAACGGCCATATTCTACAATCCCGTAAAAAAACAACGTATTCTGGGTAATATTTGTTGTTTTCGAGAAAGTAGCCTTCTGCAGTCCTTGTAGTAACAGAGTTCATATTCGACACTCAGAGACTGTTTCAAATCACACCCTACACCCTCATTCACTATTCCCTACATGAGTTTACTAATACAGTCCACCTGACAGAGAGAATGAACACTAATGAGTGAATTCATACACTGATGAACAGCTGATGTTAAAGGCAGAGTAAGTTATTTCTGGTAGCCAATGTTGATATTTGAAATCACCAAAACAAACATGCCCCTACCCCAAAACGTGAGTGGCGCGGTGCAACAAATTCCGACAGAAAACTGCTGCCGGGTTCTATTTATGACGTGCTGACACAAATTTCAAATGATTTTCAACGGTCGCTTGATCGCGTCCAGTGTAGGCAGACTTTAGCTGTTGTAGACACGGTGTTACTCACCTATCGAGAAGAAACAAAGCAACCTCAGCGTCCGATCGCAGGCCTCCGCTCCTTGAGTTCTCTCCAGTGCTGGAAAGCTGATCCGATATTTACACGGGTCCTACTTCTTGCCTTATCGTTCCGCAGACATTTTCCTCTTTTGTTTTTTGTCCGCCATCTCTATCTTTCTGTCGTTGGGCTCGGCTAATGTCCGTCCCATGCACTGAAAGCTCTCTCCTCCACATCACGAGTAGACACGCCCCTTATTGCTGATTGGCTACAAGTTTGTTTTGTTATTCGGCCCGACTCAGTTTTCTAAAGTGTTTTTGAAAAATCACATACCCCACCTTTAACAAGCAGAATCACTGACGAAAAGAGAAACACAAGAACTACAACTGACTTCAGCCACAGCCTTAGATGAAATCAACTGAATTAAAACAGCAGAACACGATCAAACATCTCCACACACAGCATTACAGTTTGACTTTGTCATATATCTACAAAAAATATTTGAGAATAAACAGAGGTTTAGATGTTTTATTGAGAACGTTTTGTTCACCTCACCATCGAGGCGATCAGTGTTTGCTTTAGTTGTGCTCTTGACCCTTCACTTTATCATACTAGCTTGTCTGGTTGTAATTGAGTATGTAATGCGTATTTGTTATAGCAATGAAAGTGTGGAAAATTATGTTTTAATGATTCTGTTTAATTATTGATAATGGTGTAATTATCATTTTGTGGCCTAATTCACTGGTTTCGCTCAATGGCTGATCTTTAAAACTAAAGTGTTGGTTTCCTCTTGTTTCATGTTATTTAAGATAGCTATATGACACTACGAACTGAGTAAACATTTATAATGGATTTTCAGAATATCTTATTATTAAAGACTTTAAAATAAGGCATCTCTGAGACACACAGAGACATCAAGAATCAGCACATGAATCCCAACAATGGTGACAATCAAAAGCTTCATGCTGCAATGCATGCTGGGTACCAGCACAGCACAAAACTCATCCATGACTCCCAGCATGCACTGCGGCATAAATAAATTATGCAGCTGAATGGTCCACTTATTTTCTTTAATTCTTACTAGGTGCTTTTATTTTTGCTTTTGTGTTGAGTTTTAGTAGCGTGTTTTGTGATGTTCAGAGTCCATCTGTTTATTCAATTTTTGATTGTCACCATTGTTGAGATTCATACGCTGATTCTTCATGTGTGTTTCATAGCATACTAAAGATATTTATTGTGCGAAGTGTGTGTAATATTTCCTAATAGTTCGCTTGCTCTAATGTGTTATCATGACTTTACTTTAGCATGATAAGAGACGCTTGTCAAAATATGAAAATTGGCTTTAAAAGATGGTATTGTCATTTGCAGATCATAATCAACAGCATCACATATTGTGGATTTTACCTTTTTTACCACAACTATTATGTTGAAAAATTCAATGGTTAAAACAATCAAATGAAAATGATGTTGCAAAATCAAGGTTCAAGATCTAAGGGTTAAATGTGTAAGATGGAAAAAACAGCATGAAATGTAATTTAACAGTAATAAACTGTAATTATTTTATGGCCACAAACTGTAAAAAAAACAGTTATTTACTGGCAGCATGGTTGCCAGTAAATAACTGTTTTTCTACAGTTTGTTGCCGTTAAGTCCAGGAAAAAACAGCAATATACTGTAAAACGTAAGAGTCAGATTTACCAAATGAAAAAAGTTAATTTGACTGAAATATTTGTGAACATCCATAGAAAAAAGTTATGCAAAGTCATGAACTGATAAGGAGATTAAATATTGAACTGAGCTGTATTAATGTGTTTTGGCACAAGAGAGATCTGTTAGTTTAATGTAGTTTTGTGGGTCATCATTGTGCTGGAGAGTAGAGCCTGTGCTTCAGTCAATGATGAGCCACAAACACTGATGTTCTGCTGCTTTATTTAAAGACCGTAACTGTGGAGTTGCTGATACAGTAATGATCTTTGTTACTTCATCACACACACGTGTGCTGTAGCTAAAAGTGAACTACAGTGATTTGAATTAAAGTCATGTTTTTAGTTATTTTGCTGTTGTACATTAAGTGTTTGCAGTTGTATACTAAGAAATATTCCTTCTCAGTGGACTCAAATGAAATAAGTTCAGAGTACTAATATCATATGAATGCTAGTTTTAAAACTCGAAGTGTTTGAAGCAATGGGAGTGGAGTTAATTTCCATGGTAGAATTACGGTAAAACACTGTAAACATTTAGAGTTGTAAATTAACGGTTGAAAGCTGTAAATTAACAGTACCTAACTGGCAACCCTGCTGCCAGTAAATTACTGTTATTTAATGGCACAATTTTTTACAGTGTAGAACACTCCCCTACTCAAAGTCTCACTTAACATGACACAGAAATTAAGTGCCTCCTCTATGCAGATGACCTGGTTCTCCTGTTGGACAGCTTGAATCTGCTGGAGAGTTACTGCCAGACCTGGGTCCTGACAGTAAACCTCCAAGAAACTAAAGTCATGATCTTTCAGAACCACTCCAGACCTCAGGGACTAACACACACATTCACACTATCACACAGAACCACTGAAACCACAAAAACATACAATTAGCTTGGCCTAAAATCACCTCAATGGGTAACTTTACTTTGTCTGTGAATGAGCTCAAAGGGAACGCTCAAAGGGCTTTCTATGCCATACAAAAGATCAATTAAAATTGACATCCCAATCCAAATCTGGCTCAAACTTTTCAAATCAATAATTGAACCAATTGTACTATATGGCAGTGAGGTGTGGGTCCATCTATAAAATGTTACTTTCTAAATTTGGAAAAAACATCTAACTGAAACTCTACATCTAGGTTTCTGTAAAAGAACACTCCAAGTACAAAGAAAAACACCAACAATGGATTGGAATGGAAACACCTAAATACAAGCGACCACAGCACATACCATTATAAAGGCCTAAAACACCAAGAGCTGAAACCCACAAAGAGTCCCCTCCTTCAGCTGCTGCTGAGACTGACAGAGATCAGCCAGCCTCAGGACTCACACACACTCTCAACCATTCGGCCCACACAGATCATCAACACAGAGAAAGACAAGTATGTCACCCATTGGACAAACACCATTAAAAACAACTCAAATTAGAATGTTATTTGGCACTAAATCAAGAGTACTCCATGGCAAACTACCTGAGCACAGTGACTGATGTGAAACTCAGGAAAACCATATAGAGATGGGCGGGTGCAGAGAGATGTGAGTCTCCCATGAGGAGAGAATCTGCTCCCACTGCAGTCTGGGAGAGATCGATACAGAGCAGCACTTCCTCAAAATGGCCCAAATGCCAAACCAT